TTATTGCCCTCATCAATGAATTCATGAGTTTCTTCGCCCTCTTTCTCTATCTCGGTCTCGGTTTAGCATCATCATATATCGATCCGTATCAAATTTTGATTGGTTGTAGCGCGGGAGCAGCTACTCCATGCTGTGGCTGTGGGGGTGGGGGCAGCCTAAGCCTGATAGAGGCAGAAGCCGGGGCCACCGGAGCTATCTGCGTCGAGTGTGTCGATTGAAAGTTTTGGGGAGAGAACTCAAATGCCAGCGAAAAAATCGAAAGAGTCGTGCCGTTCAAAGTGGAATTCTTCTAAGATCCATCTATTGCTCGATTTTGCATGCTCTGCTCCCCCCAAGAGAGACTTGTTCTCAAAATGAAGGAAAAGGCAAATCGACGGTTGGTTGTTGACCAACGGAAAGGCATGGGAGTTGGAATGTAAAAAAATCAGAAGAAATGGGTGGGATTTGATCATTCAGCGCGGTGCAGCCCATATAAGGTAAGGAGCTTTAGCTGTTCACGTTACAGCTACTTTGTTGGCTCTTACTATACTACGATATTTTCATTGATCGTAGCTAATTCTGATTCCATTGCGAAACGAAAACCGCTCCTTCTGTAACAACTGATTCTACACAAGAGCAAAAGAGCCTTTTTCTTCCTAAGGATCTATTCATTTTTCCATTAACAGTCGAACCGACCGGAGAGAGATTGCTTTTCTCACAGACCAGAAAGCCAGGAGCGAAGCCTGCTTGACCAACGGGAGAAGCCAACTCCGTTCCTCCTTCCATCATAGACCTTCTCTGGTCACCAGCCTCTTCGCCTCTTTTGCATTAACATATTCCCTCGTACTCGTACCTGACTTCGTTAGACGGATCCTACTTAGGGGCTTGAAAACAGAAAACAGAGTAAGGAATAGATGCTGCTAGGGCTCATACGAAGAAGCCAACTCGGTAAAGCTTGTTTACGGTTCCTTTTCTTGCTTGACGGTACGCTTTTAACCAAGCCTAATCCATATAAGAAAAGCAAACAACTATGAAAACAGGGCAAGAAGATGCAGACGGACGGTACGCAATGAGACTGGAGTACCTGGCAGGGGGCCTAAACAGACAGTAAGGGGGTGGGTTCTAGGAGAAGAGAGAAGAACGAGGGTGAAACGCACTTTAGTGACTAGAGAAAGAAGTTCTCTAGGAGAAGCAGTCATTGAAAAAAAGAAGAAAAGAAGGAGCTGATCCGATGGATAAAGATAACGATCAACGGAAACTATCGGCTATGAAGCTAGATGGCATAGAAGAAGGTTATGCCAATATGGATGGCTTGCCTGGAAACTAGCCATGTATGTACTGGCTTCCGCACTACTACTTGGTCGGATCAATCTCACTCTAGAAATTGGGAAGAATCAACTCAAAATGTGAGGAAAGCACGAAGCATAACATTTGAATGAGGGGCCCTCATCAATGAATTCATGAGTTTCTTCGCCCTCCGAAGGACTCGTTTTCAGCTCCTGGAGGAACCTAGCTTCTTCAGCGGAGCTGGAGGAGAACCCCTTATATATTATATTCAAAAAAAAGTCAAAAAATCAAATGATTACACAGCCCACTTCGCTCCGCTGCTCTGCTCGCTCCGACGATTCTACATACCGGTCGAAAGAGACTGAGCCCGGGCGAAGCCAATCACATTGAGTTGTAGATTGACATAGTTAACCTTCAGTGCACTTATATATAATATATAGTCAGAGTTGAGGCTGAGCGTTCACCTTAGCGGCACCTCTGACCTCAGATGCATGTGTTAAGCATATAACTAGCGAGCGAACCATACTTCGGATATCGCTCGGAGCAAGGCCAGTCGCTGGATTAAGACTAACAGGACCATTCCTTATGGAAGACCCAGCAAGAGACGTCACTACCTACCTAGGCCTCAGGATGAACTCTGGTGTTGAGGCCCGAAGACTGGAAATTCAACCCTAATAACAAAGTTCCTCTCCAACCAGTCGAGGTTACTACGTTCCTTGCTTCACTTCAGTAAATTAATTAACACCGTATTTGATTTCATCTTGTTTTTTTGTGCTAGTTACTATCTGTAGTAGTGGACTAACTGGGCTGGGCACAACTCATTTGAAAAGGAATGTCAAAGCATTGCGGATTCTTCCTTCGACGTCTTATTGCCCTTGATATTCAAAGAGGTGCAAGCCTTACTTACTATACCTTTTATATCTTCCGCTCTCACGGATATTCGCCAGCTTTGTGCCTATGGTGGCCCTTGACTGACCCGTCTCGTATCGTTTAGAAGTCAGTCCATGGGTTCTACAATCTTTTGTTAACCTTTAGCTGCGGGCTCCACGGAGAAAGTTGTCGGATAGCAGCGATTCCTATTGCTATTCTATGGTCTTTTCTGTCTTTTTCCCTTTACCTGGTCCTATCTCGAGCAGGATTACTCTGCTCTTTGGTGCTCGGGATTCCCATTCAAGAACCAGTAACTCACCGTCTGATTCACGCGGATCAGAGCCATCGAGTCGATAATAACTGTTCTTCGGTGCAGCTCTGACCCTACAGCAAGATCACGCCGCCGTTAACTAGATAGTTCAGGGGACGAGTCTCTTAACTTGATCTTATTATTTGATTATTAAGCCCGCTTTTGCGTTGCCGAACTCTTCTTGTATTTTCCATCAGGTGAAGGAAGGAGGAACTCCTTTGCCATAGACCAATTACCTGAGATTGGCTAGCATGAGGCGTTCCTCGGAGGTTAACCCTAGTTGATTCTGCACTCCCTAAAGAGAACAATCCATTCCTTTAGCATAGCTAACGAATAAGGAAAACTGAACTACGGCGCTCACCGAATGTATCACTCATCCCGCTCCTAAGGTAAGGAGTCCTCTGTGTGTTAGAATCTTTATTGGAATTCATTGATAGTTACTTTGCCAGGTTCTAGGGGGGCTACTCTTCTTTTTTTTCTCGATCGAGCCGCTCTCCCTCATTCCACTCGTCCAGCCCTCTTCACGAACTTGTACAATCGATGCCACAAAAATAGCCAACTCTATTATCAAAGAAATAAGGAAACGGGCGACGATTTGGCACCAGATATCCGGAGGTGTGAAAAGAGCAGCTGTGAGAAGCGGAAAAACCATCAAAAAACGACGATTGTTCGTGAAGGTTTCCAAAGAAAGACCCCTTGGTTCTGGCAAACGGATCACAATTACAGGTACCTGGGAGCATACCGATGGAATGAACGAAATACGAACAGTTAACATAATATGGTCATAGATCTTAGGTTGTAACTTGATCATGAGCGAATTTGTTGATGTTGCACCCACGAAGTATGGAAAGTGCCAAACATTGGGAACGACCCGGGGAGGAGTTAGGAACAGGAAAAAGAAGAAGCGAGAACCACTTAAATGGAGGAATCGATTGTATTTCGTCCTTTGTTCTCCATAGCAACTGGGGATCAAAAAGCACCAAATTTGATAACTTATTAAAGGAAAGACGAAATAAGAGCATGCTATTGAAGACGTTGCAACAAATGTCGAAAAGGCCTCCGTTAATTGTGTACAAACAAAATACGAGTCAAAAGGCAGGGTAAGAAAGGGTGACGCTAATGAAGATATTAACTCTTCCGGAAACCAGTAACACGTAAACCATGTCAAACCAAGACCGATCAATATCCGAACGGAACGGATTCGAACTTCTCCTAGAATCGTTTCCGATGCGAAATGAAATTCATAGGATATATATATATATATAAGTAATTCCAAGTGCAAAGTGAAGGATTTTATAGGGTTCATGTACCCATGTTCCTATACGTATATCGGGAAATGGTATGCAATTTCCTATTTGATAATTTCTCTCAAGTATTTCGTATCTATAAGCAGGGGGCGTGGCCAAGAAGCCTACACTCCAGCGGACTGCCCCCTTCTAATCGTTCTTCACACAGTGAATAAGGGCTTAGGATGGTCATTCTGGGCGGATTGCAAGAAGGAGCTGGTCGAAGGTTTGGACCAATCGCAATTAATCACCATTTTGCCTGCTTCTAATTGATGACTGGCTATTATATAAGTGTTGACCTAAGCCCCTGTGCAGGGGCTCGGCTCCCGAACCGTACGTGAGCTGCCTCGTACGGCTCTTCCTAAGAACTTGAAGCCCCCTCTCCAGGAATCAAACTTTTTGAAAAAGCCTCCGCCCTCCTATTCAACGGGGCTATTAGAGAAGCAGCTTCGTTCCTTGACTTCTTTGCTCAGTCAAGCTTCCTTGTTCCTTAGTGTAGTCTCGGTCCATAGTTTAAGACTCCGTTCCTTATAGTATAGTCTATATCCACAGCTGACGGTGACTTTCTAGGTTTATGGATTCAGTCAGCGAAAGTCCTCAATATCAACAAGATGTCGTGACCGGTGTAGCTAAGTTTCAAAAGGTGAACAGCGCCCTTTATAGTCGTCAAATGCTTCTCTGAAAAGTAAGGAAGGAGGCAAGCAAATGAAGGGAGGCATTACGGGCCGACTACAAGAAGGAAAGCTTCGTAGACTCGACAAACCGCTTCTATAATGCCGACTACTAAGTTAAGACTTTACCCTTACCTTATTAAATAAAGTCAAGGAGCGAAGCCTGCTTGACCAACGGGAGAAGCCAACTCCGTTCCTCCAGCTTCGCTGAAGAAGCTAGGTTCCTCCGAAGCGAAGCTTAGCGAGCTGGCCGACCACTACATAAGCCGCTGGCAGAGAAAGCTAGAGGATAAATATTCATTCGTTGCTAAGCCAAGGTCCCAGGTCTCCGAGTCAGCCCGCGCTTTTTCGAAGAATCCTGCACCCATGGGCATATGGCCTGGCAGGCCTTCCCTTTCCGCCGGAGCTTCATGGGTGTTACCCCGTTCCCCAATAAGATATGATATTTGGATGTGAGCTATACTCCGCGAGGAGCCAAACGGGCGTATGGCCTTGCCATTGGACCTCTCTTCCCGTGTGACTAGAAATGTTCAGTGACAACCTCTCAATTGTCATTGCCTGGCCTCTCTTGCTACCGCGGTAGCACCTAGTGTGGTCAGCACCAATCGTGTTCGGGCAACGAAGCTTACACTCATTCACATTGGTTCATCCTGCTATGCCCCGGGCCTTTTGCTCTCCGTAAAAAAAAAAGGCGGCCGGCCTTTCGTCAAGGCCCGGGAATCCGCTGGACATCTCAGCGGCGGGATTTGATACCCGCATCTGATCGAAGTTTCATTTTAGCCAGATAAAGGAGAGCTCTTTCTAGGTGGGTCCGCTTCGCGCAAGACATTGCTTAGGACCAACGGGTCACACGACAGGTGCACGATCGACTTTGCACGCTCCATCCTTCGCCCTCAAACCCCGGAGAGCTTTGAGTTGCTTCGCCCTTTCGCCTATCGGCTTGGCAGGCAAGCTACCTTGATCCGTCTTCGGCTTCGATTTGTTATGCCCAGCAGCTCCAACAAGCCCTAAAGTATCTTGCCGCCTAAAACTCTGCCAAGAAAGCCCTGCTTTACCTTTGATCCTATGTGCCCAGAGAATGCTATGCGTTCTCCACTTTCGGACCTCGCAAAGAGAGAACGTGCTTTTTCCTCTCACTTTCTGTCTCATTCGCGGAGCGAAGAAAGCGGTAGGAACCCCAGCTACCGCTATCCTTGGGAAACCAAAAGAGCTAGCGAAGGCAAGGGATGCAGTCTCTCTCTTGGCCTTTGGAGAGGAGAAGGCAGAGAAGAAGACGTCCTTCACTAAAGTTTTTGTGCTTCCTGCGCCCTTACTAGCAAAGGCGTTCTTAGACGAAGACAAAGGAGGCCTTCCTACCGGAATGCCGACCACTACATAAGCGGCCATCAGTCCAGGAGAGAAGCAAGCTACCTTTCTTTGATCCACCTTCCCGGGCAGGAAAGAGAACGAAAAGAGGCCGCTGATGGTGTTCGTGGTAGGTTCGAGGATCTTGCGCGGCGGAGCTAACTCTTCGATCGTGTTCATTTTTTTCTGGCAGCCCCCCTTGATCCATCGTACTGGAGCGATCTGAGAAGAACGATTAGGGTCATATTCTATACTCTCTACAATGCCCATAGAGGAAGTGCTTCGTTTCAGATCAATTCTTCGCAGCAATCGCTTTGAGCCACCTCCTCGGTGAAAAACCGTAATACGCCCTGAGGAATTCCTACCAGCAGACTTTCCTGTACTCAAAGTGAATTGTCTAAGTGCTCTTGCTCCCCCTGGTCTCATTGTCTATCTCGTAATCAGTTGATTCCGTCTGACTCCTCCTACTCCTCCTTCTCCTCTTTCATCGTCGTTAGTCCTTTTGATATCAGATTCTCGGCCGCTCAAGAGACTCTATCTTTATATATATTTATACGCAATATCTTGACTCCTACTACGAGTGACTACACCAACCGGCTTGGCCTCAACTTTCGGCTTCACCACAACAAGAAATCGTCCTTCATCTCGGTAGTTCAACAGGCAGAGGACAGCTTACGGAACTTTTATCCATGACTTGGAGTTGACCTCGGTTAACAATCTTCTGAACCTTTCTTATCGCCTAACAAAGAACTTCGGCACGGCTTCTTTTCAATGCCCATCGCTGCTCTCTGCATGCCTTGGAACTAGGCTTTCGAGCGAAGGTTCGGGCAGATCGTGGCTCGGCCTTGGTCCAACGGTTCTATTCTAAGCTTCCTTTCCTGTCGGCTTAGGCGGAGAGAACAGCCATTCTGTTAGGCTTTGTTGGTGACCGAGTGTTGTTTTGCCAGTTCATAACTGACCTCTGGAACTCTTCCACTTCCGAAGGTGTCTCTAGCCTACTTAAGAGCCTACCTTTCCTTGAGAGCGATCTCCCGTGGGCACTTTCTCAATGTGACCCACGAATACCACCTACTAGGAGTGGTCCAATCAGAGTTCGAGGTAAGACTTGATGTACGAGTCCCATTATCGGCATATCGTTCTTGCGATCCTGCCCTATGATACTCCCACGTCTGTATTGTAGTTCTTGTTTCAAGATCCCGAGCAAGCAGGTGGTTGGATAGGTCCCAACGATTCGAGACTTTATCCTATGTACGTTGGCATGAATGACCCTTGACTCCAAGTCAGAGTCTGCTAGAAGAATTAGGTAGTTGCTTACCTCTGTGCGCTATGGGCTGAACAAATCATTAGTATGCCTGGATAGCCCACTGTAATCGGTCGGAGAGAGTAGGCAATCTAACCCCTACTGCTTTTATAGGTAAATTCCTTAGGCCTCAAAAAGTGCAATCCCAAGTCATTGCCATGTCACCGAGGAATGTAGCTTCTTAAGATTCACAAAGTCGAGGACTCTTGCTGGTGAGCAAGTTAATTTCGCTACGAAAGTATAGTCTACCTCTAAAGGAAAGAACGTATATATTTCAAGCTATAAGAGTCCAGAGGAGAGAAGGGTAAATCTTTAAGGTTAAGGACGGAGGTTGCTATTATAGTTTGCTTGTCCGAATTCAAAGTATTGACCTTGCAATGAGCAGCCCCTTTCGACTCAAAGTAGAATATGAATCAAGAATTTGTCCGACGTTACTTAGAGCTCGTTCCGCTAAACTATTGAAAGAAAGATTTAAGCAAAGCGGGAGGTCATGGACTTAAAGATAGAGGATACAGCATAAGTATCTGAGCTGGACAGCACACCGCGGAAAGAGCAGGGGAAGGAGACCGAGCGAGAGACGACTAAGCTCAAGATAGACGCTACTCATCAGTGGGTGCTTGTGTCTTATGGTCTAGCTCATCGCGACAGGATAGACCTTGCTGTTCTTAATGCAACAATAAAAATGAGTCTCCTTGTTCGAAGGTGGAAGTGAACTAAGCAAGAAGGACCGGGCTTCGGTTTGGCTACAACTTAGGCAGTTGTACTATATCTGGGGTCCGCTAGCTCATACAAATGCTTTGATCACACTAGTCCAACAACACCCTTACCTTTCTAAACTATTACTTAGTGAACCGCAGAAAACTATACTTTCTTTTATAGTCCTAAGAACGGCAGCACGATGTTTGGCTGATCTAAGGCGGTGTAGCGATTGAACAATTTAGCCATCTAGTATGTAAGGCAGTGATAGGGCCCCACCACCAATCTCGGCGGTTGACCGCAAACCATAAGCAAACCAATATAGGGTATGAACAGCCAACCACAAGCTAACTCCAGCAGCGCAACCACAGCAGCGAGCAAGAGCGAACGCTCACTCCCATTCCTTAGCGACCCCCATTGTACAACCCTCATTGTACGAACCCCCGCAGCGAGCGACTGCAGCCAATGGTTATGAGCAAGCAATAGCTGGTTAAGAGAGGGGATCGGTGGACTCAAATGATGGGTATAACTCATTCCGAGCCAATTAGGAAGCCTTGTGTAGAAGATTGATCGGAGGGTGAGGCACCACAACCGGGCACCTCCTAGGGCAGGAGTATCATAGGAACGAAAGGGATATGATTCGTCCGACGTCCCGTCTCGCGTTAGGATCCTTTGTCTCACTTCAATATAGCAAGAAATGGGGCGGCTCCTTTGTGGATCACTCTTTCCCAGGACTCGAAATGACAACTGATCAGTCCTATCACCTTCACAAATCAAAGCGAAAAGGATCGAGGCGAGACTCTTGCGTTGTGTCCGGACGAGTGGAGCATTCACATTGTATGATCACTTATATTATAGAAACCCGCAATTATTCATTTCAAATGAAAAGATCAAGTGGCCCTCAAGTGCACAATACAAGAAGGAGATCAGCTGTATTAGATTCGAGAACAAAGTAACGAACGGGTGCGTCAGACTAGACAAAGAGTATATACTGAACGCATCTCTCTCGTATATCTCTGTATTGCTTGGGCGTTGTGCTCATACATTGTTCATCATTTCATCACCATATTTATATATAATGGGAATACAATCTAGTGTTTTTACCTTAGCAAGGAGTAGTATATTTCCCATGAATATCCTAGTAGTTTAGCATGGCTTAGCCAGTATGTCCGGCAAGGTGAAAGTCCCATGACCTGAGCTTATCCGGGCTTGGGTGACAGCCTACTAAATGTGACACAAGGTGTAGATGATTTGTGCAATCTTGCCAATGATCTAAAAAAACAATGTTATGACCACGATTCCAGAGTCAGAGAAGTTTTTATAGCCTAAGTAGGGTTTCAGCCTTAATGTATTACCTATATGCTCTGTCGCGTTTTATATGCTCTACATAGGGGATTTAGCTGCTTAAACACATATGGATCCTTTGTCCTTTTTACATGTAGTTCCTTTTCTATTGACGGATAGTTGAGATACCTAAAATAGACCGTTTCACTTTACTAAATTAAGAATTCTACCACCTCTGATAAAAAGTCAAGTGGGCTGGGCCTAATTCTTGCATTCGTGGTGGTTATGTCGCCCTATTAGATAACTGAGTGCTATTTATGCTAAGTCTAAATAAAGGTTTTGGGATCATTGTTCTAGACTCAAAGTAATGGAATTGAGTTGATCGAGAAGATTGTCTTACTATAATATTGGGATTCAACTAGTTTTTTATATCTGCTGGTGACACTCGACCCGTGCATTCCCCTGCTTTCTACTTGACTCTTGTCAAAGGATTTATTTACAAGCCTGTGCGATTTCAAAGTTAGTAAGGGAAACCTGAGATGCAAATATCTGTACTAAGTGAACCAGTTACGGTTCTTCTAGATCTAGTGCTTATCAGATCCAGCAGTGGTATCAAAAAAGGAAAGCTGAAGTAGGTGGAGTTAATCTTAATAAGCTCAATACACCAACTAATCTACTATATAATAATAGAACGAGAGCTCGTCCGATGTACATGCAGTAGTTAGATAGAAAGACAATCCTAGTATTATGCTTTTCCGGTCGAGGCATATTCCTACTCTGATCCTATACACTCAAGAGTTTGTCCCAAGTATTTCACCAGATTCAAGAGGTCGTCGAGAGCAGTTTCACTATCAAGTTAGGAGAATGTATTCCTACTCGTGTAAGAATTGTATTTACACCAAATCCCTAAAATTGAGGAGATTTTTAATAAGGAATTGAATCCCCGGTCCCATCACCAACCAATATCCTAATAAAAAACAGGCATCAACTAAAAAATAGAAAGAATCATATTGATCGTTTTTGTGGTAAAACTGAATTCTAGTATGGACATAAATGTAGCCCTCCTCAAACGAAAAACCTTAGGTTATACATCACATACGTCTGTGACACAGCAGTGGGGTGCACGGACTAGCGGATTGCACCACTATTTCGGCTTGAGTTTATAGTGAAATCTCGGGAAACTTAAAATGCAAAAAGCTCAATTATTGTGATTTATATGCCTTTGTTTCCTGAATATCCGTCATTAGAAAAACAAGGATAAAGAGATATGTAGGGGCTATCGTGCATCGAAATAGTAGAGTAGATGAATTATTTTTCTTTATGTTGATGCCATTGAGTCTGTGTTTACATTATTATGTACTAGAGGTATTTACAGTAGTTTATAGGCCCACCTATTTTAGAGAATAAAAGGAAATGAAGTGCTGAAAGACAGAGAACTAAGAAAAGAACTCAACTGTGTGAGGTAGAATAAGAAATGAACTTTTACCATAAGCCATATGAGGATTCCTGTCCAAGCAATCAAGTCTCCTTTTTTTACATGGAGTTCTGATATTCAAGTTAGACTAAGTATGAGAAGGTTTGTGGTCAACCCCACCATATTCAATATGAGAACAACTAGTTGGAACTTGGGGAACACATTGAAAATGCGACATCTAAAGAATTGTAGACCGTAAAAAAGAAGAACACAAGGCCGATTTCATTCATTACATTACAATACTAATTCATTTTAATACAGAAAAGTCCATACAAAAGGAAGCACACAACGAAAGACACGAAACATAGAACATAGTACAAAGACATAGGCATACAAGACTGTGGGTCTCTAGACTCCTTATTTAGTTTTAGCGATGGAGAGAATCGGCGAACTCCTCTTTTTTAGTTTCCCGGCGGGCCTGGGGGGTCGCGGTTGAAAGCTTGCGCTACTCGAGCCGCACCGCTCTCAATTAGGGCTTCCTTTGTTCTTAGGAGGACAGCAATCCTCCGTTGAATACGTCGAATGCGATTAGTTAACTGTAACTCTTGCATTTGGTCCGGGTTCAAAGCTGAACGGTGCGCCACAAGTCGGTCGAGCGCAGCGAGCTTTTCTTCCTCCAGAAAAAGAAGTTTATTTTCAATGGTGTTAAGATTAGCTGAAATCATATCAAGATCCATCTTTCTTCTCGATGCCAAATACAGACTACAAGAAGCTGCTATTTATAGGCGGGCCTAAAACTCCTTCTCATAAGTCTTAGTTACGTAACCATTAATATGTAACCCTCTTAACTCAATTTTAGTGCGCGGAATCATTCTACTGATATTATTGGAGTACGAATAAGAAGTTTTTCAAAAATCAAATAAGTCTCGCCTACGTGGCTGAATTCCGATCACTCACTGATAAATAAGAGGCAATAATAGAAGGCACATCAAGAATAGGAGACAATAATAGAAGGCACTGCAAACCCTAACCCTCTTTCTTGTGCAGGTTTCCAAAGACCCTTTCGTGCACTCCTTACTCGACAGCTCACCATTACCATGTGATCTCTCTTCTCCTCGTTACCCTACTTTTTGATTCGCTTCTACGTTGTCTTTTTTTGATTGGCTTATTTTCAAGTAAGCTGTCACTTCGGCGCCAATCTTCACTCGACATTTCCCTTCTGCGCTACGTGAGAATACGCTACCTCTTCAATTTTGAGGTAAAAGCTCCTTTCCAGCTCACTCTGTCAGTCCACTAAAATCTAAGTGAGCACTATGACCTCAAAGTATCCAAGGGTTTTCTTATTGATTCACAATGCTAAGGTCACGTCTTTGATACGAGTCATTAGAGCTAAATATTGGGAATTTAAGTAAAGACTAATGTCAATATAGTCCATAATATCTCCGGGTAGGTTACTGGAGGTCCAAAACTTTTGTAAGAATTTATTTAATGAATCCGTTCTCTCTTGGTTCGAATCCTTTTTTATCCAGATTATACAAATTGAATCTGCTAAAATCGAGGGTTTCATTTGTAAATATATACTATTTCTGGACATCAAGCCCAATTGCTTAAGTAGCCTAGCTTATTTTCAGTGTGGCTTACGAGATCTTCGTGTCATAGCCGGGCCGGTTGTTATATTAGTACGACGTCAAAGTGAGCGGAGCAAAAAAAAGGTCACTTACAGCGTTCCTACCTATAGAAAAAAGGGCCTGCCAATTCAAGCATCAATACTCAATTATTACGAGAAATAGTCTACTCTCTACAGTATAAAAATTGTTAAATATGAATTGATTGTTTAACGAATGGTATGAATCTAAGCTAAGTTCATTGGCACTTTTTTTTTCATTTTGCACTGGTTTTCAATGGTTAGTCATTTACTTGGAGTTACTACAGCTCGGATTGGAAAGGTCATCAGAAGTGGACTGATTCTTGGACTAGCGTTTTGTTGATGCATGCTAAAGTACTAAGCGTTCCACCGTTCCCGGACTGAGTCTGGCAGTGCTAGTCCGCTGTTCCTGGATAGACTACTGAGTTGGTCAAGGATGGTGGTGACGGAGATATTGATTCTCATTCTACTTACGTCGTGATTTAGTTGGCCAGTTGATATGCTTGATTGAGAAGAAACCTTTAACACAAGAAAACAGAATCCATCGTTACTTTCCTCTGCCCGCTAAACCTTAGGAAAAACACGACTCCTTTGGTCGACCATGGGAAATAGACTGCACCTTTGCATATCTTTCTCGTAGCCTTTCTTACAGCCTGACTAAATATAACTATTCGAAAATGCCCTTTTCCTTTTTTCCTGGGAAACAAAAATACTGAATTTGCTCGTCACTCGGTCTCATACTTCGGTCTTATGCTTTCAGGACTTGTGCATTTCCATCGTTTACTGGATCGGTGGACTACCTCATGGATTGTGGGTCTTTGGCATGACAGATTCTTTTGATAGGAACGCCCAAGCAAAGAAAGGAAAAGAAGTAAGGCCAAGTCAAAGGAATGAAACGGGCAATAGACTAAGAATCAAACATTATAGATAATCTATTCTATATAGAGATATGTAAGAGATAGTTAGTTCATCGGTTGATATAATAGCAGGTTGAAGAGAGTTTAAGCCAGTCACGCCAACCCAGTGAACGTCGAAGAAAGGAGATAGTTCAGAACGAAGAAGGTTTATAGTTTAATTAGTTGAAACATTATTCTATCTAGTTTAGTTATATTGGTTGCTTTCGTCCTACTTCACTCAGTCGTGGATGGTACGAATCTTTAGTCTAACTTGCGCTGTCCCATGTGGACCCGATGTGCTTCATTTTCCACGCCTTGCTGAGCCGGGCTGAGCTGGATGGGGAATGTTCCTTGCCTCGGGTCATAGTTTGTTGGCTGCTCGCCTGTTATGGAGCTGGGCTCCTTGCGATTATTTTGCTGGGCTCGGAAAAGTTTTTGTTCCCAAACTGAGAGTTCTACCTGAGGATCTTTCCTGGCCTCCTTAACCGATAGAATGGGACTAGTCAAAGGTTGGCAAACTACTTCGCATTGGCCTTTTCTTCTTCCGTGCTTTCCTTAACTTCATGCTTTTCTGCTTAGATTGCTGAAATCCAATAACAATAATTAGAAGGAATGTTGAAATGAAATAGAAGATAGAAATCCAATAATCCAATAGAATAGAAAGAATAGAAGATAGTACATATGCACTCTTAGTTCAGCCCTTCGGATGGTATGAAAGGTATGAATATCTTGCTCGCATAAACCGGGCCTTCATTGCCTGGCACTACTCTCTAATTTGATAACTAAAAAAAGTGCTTCCGCTGCTGAGCAAACTTTGTAGTCTGTATTCCCATCAGGCCTAAACTTTTCGACTAAAAGCTAAGGGGCTAATACTCTATACCACCCTGAGTTGACTTGAGATTATTGGATTGTGCCGATGGCTGAAGTGTCAACTTCTTTTGTGCCGCAACCCGCTGCTACTTAGTTCCCTAGCTAGATTCAGCTGTGCCAGGCCCCCCGATTTGTCTAATGATAACCTATTTATCTGTCAAAGCCACAACCCTTCCCTCTGCGAAGTCACTCCAAGTCTGCACCAAATTCCGGAATCGAGATGGAGGGCTAACGGCTAAAGCTATGCCGAAGACAATGCTCCCATCCCCAAATCGGTCCTCGTCTGGGGATGAATTTGGGCTTAGAGTCCTTTCAGAGCCCTGGCCGATTACCCCCGATCTGGGATTAGAGTCTTCCATTGTAAATTGAATTCGAATACTGGAAGCCGCTAATTCCCCCTTTCTGCTTGGAAAGGATAAAGGACAATATTGGGGAGAAATCAAGGACTGCCTCTCTAATTGTTCTTCCCAGAAGGAATATTTGCGTCTGCTAGATTTCTAAAATAGAGACCTCCTTATCAGGGAACGGAAGCACTCATGTTATGAGGTCTTTCGCGGAGTCCTTTTAAGGAACCCTTCTTTGGAAGAAACGGCGGCCTACCCTCCTCAAGAAGCCTTTATCGACTTCTTGAACGAGAAACGGGACGCGCTAGACGTTTCCCACCCCGGACACAGCCCGGCGGAAGTAGACCGCCTGGAGATATTATTTCTCGGCCAGGTGGAAAAGGACCTTATCAGACATGGGAGCGGATCGATCCATATGAAACAATTAGTTGGAAATTGGGATTGAGATCGTTTTGGGGCAGTCCGCTGGAGTGTAGGCTTCTTCGCTATGATCTTCCCAGTAGTTCATATAGGAGCTATAGCCGTTTCATTCCTTTTCGTTGTTATGATGTTCCATATTCAAATAGCGGAGATTCACGAAGAAGTATTGCGCTATTTACCAGTGAGTGGGATTATTGGACTGATCTTTTGGTGGGAAATGTTTTTCATTTTTATTTTTTTCGCTATGCGCCGCTCCGCCAGCAAGGAGTGCCACGCACAAGCAGAGCGAAAACAAACAAAGCAGGGTATTCGTTGGGGGAAATCCTTTGATTGCGTATTATAGATCCATGTCTTTCTTGTTCCACTAGCTAGGACAAAATTTGCACATGTCCGTTTCGTTATTACAACCTTCTTTTTTGATGTCAAAGACCAGAAGCTACGCGCAAATTCTCATTGGGTCTTGGTTGTTCTTAACAGCGATGGCTATTCATTTAAGTCTTGGGGTAGCACCACTAGATCTTCAACAAGGTGGAAATTCTCGTATTCTCTATGTACATGTTCCTGCGGCTCGGATGAGTATTATTGTTTATATCGCCACGGCTATAAACACTTTCTTGTTCCTATTAACAAAACATCCCCTTTATCTTCGCTCTTCCGGAACCGGTATAGAAATGGGTGCTTTTTTTACGTTGTTTACCTTAGTTACTGGGGGGTTTCGGGGAAGACCAATGTGGGGGACCTTTTGGGTGTGGGATGCTCGTTTGACCTCTGTATTCATCTCGTTTCTTATTTACCTGGGTGCACTGCGTTTTCAAAAGCTTCCTGTCGAACCGGCTTCTATTTCAATTCGTGCTGGACCGATCGATATACCAATAATCAAGTCTTCAGTCAACTGGTGGAATACATCGCATCAACCTGGGAGCATTAGCCAATCTGGTACATCAATACATGTTCCTATGCCCATTCCAATCTTGTCTAACTTTGCTAACTTCCCCTTCTCAACCCGTATCTTGTTTGTTCTGGAAACACGTCTTCCTATTCCATCTTTTCTCGAATCTCCTATAACGGAAGAAATTGAAGCTCGAGAAGGAATACCAAAACCTAGTTCACTCGCTTGCATCCATGGCTGAATGGTTAAAGCGCCCAACCTAATAAAGAGGCAAGTAGGTTCGATTCCTGCTGGATGCACTTGGAACGTTCAGTTCAATCGCAACTCACAGAATCTAAAGAGATAGCTCGCCCTTATAGCAACCCTATTACTCTACCGGAACAGTCATACAAAGCTTTCGCTGTCAATAAAGATCATATAGGTTAAGATAGTCGGGACGAACCCACACCCTAATAATAGAAGGACCCCCCTTGATGAATCCTAATCCACGTCTCAATTAAGTAGCTATCTTAACAGATCAGTGAAGAAGAGACAATCAAGTTTCTAGTACCAGGTTTGACAAGTCAGGAGTAGAAAGGCGGGCCCGAGGGCGCCTTCGGCCCTCTCAGGCCACCAGGAGCTTCTAACGAACCAGGTCCGATGGTTGGCGTCCAGTGTGACGAACACCGGATTTCTCCTTGAATAGGAGGCATCATACCCAATTACTGCCCCTTTAAGGTAGTCATTTATTGTGGCCTAAACCAACTACTGTGGTGCCTCCTTTGGCAACACAACCAAAACACATTTCTTGTGCTCAGTCGTGCGGGAAGGCTAGTAAGACCTCTCCCCACCGAGGTCTGCTGCTATTGAATAACCTGTACTTGAATATGTAGATTCTTTCTCCTACTAGTGAAGAAGATTGCATGCTTGAAGCAAGATCGATATCTCCCGAGGTATTTCTTACTCGACTAAAAGGAGAGGGTGAAAGCTTTCATTTAAAGGTAAAGGGAAGGGAGGAGGACAAGTAGATCTTATCCTGCATGCAGTAAGTATGAAGAAGAGAGCCAGGTCACTAGCTAGGTAAGGGTCTACGATTGCTCACAGATCTGCTTAAAGGAACTTCAGATAAGTGCTGGACATGCTTTGTTGAGAGGCTCAACCATCAATAGCTTCGCTTACTTCCTCAGAGTCTTTTGCCTACTTATTGACCACTGACTCCCGGATCAGCTAACGACTCTTTTGAAAGCATACAGATCCCCAATGACAATATCGTCACCCGTGGGATTGGGGGCTATGAGTTGAACTATACCTGCAATCCGTTGACATGGGTACTATTCTTCAGGGACTATATCCCACATCGACGACAACTACTCTCTTTTCTGTAAAAGATTGCTGCTTCAAAAGAAGTCTGACTCTTCTTATATCAATCCCCCTTCCTTCTGGAATACGACAGCTACTACTTTGATTGAAAAATGAGAACGACTGCTGATGTGTAAGCGGAGGCATACTTTGATGTATCAAGCGCTACGCACTAACTTCTGCGTCCTTCTTCAGACAGAATCTCCTTGCTCTCATCTATTGGAAAATCCACTCAGAGACTCAATAGTTGATAATAGTTGAATAGCTCCTCCGGCAGCCGGACTGTCATTCCCACTTTTATTTGACCTTCCGGTTCTTTATCCTACGGATACTTCTCAGTTCTCATGTATACCTCCACGAGATCTCTCACTTGAAACGAAACATCACTCTCCTCTTTCTTTGACCTTTCTCTCTATCCAGGGGCCAAACTCACACTTTCAGGAGCTATAGCATACATGGAGCCAGCAGGGAGAGCCTTTTTGAATAGCAAAAGCCTTAAGCTTCAGACTAGTTCTAACCCCGATCCATCACCGGAGTCAATTCGTACACTTCTATAGTTAGACTCATGAACCTATAAACTGAAGATAGGACCCTCCCCGGTGAAACAAGATCGGCCTGTTTGTTTATTTTACCGTGGAAACACTAGAAACAATGGGT